AATGACATTGTTTTTTTTTAATAAATAAAGTTTTTATAGTATTATATAAATTATTATTTTTTAAAGTTTTTTTTTTTTAAAAAAAAATTGTCATCATTATGCAACGATGACGATTTTTTAAAAAATAAAAATTTCACCAAATCAATTTTTTTCGCATTATTTCGAATATTTGCGAAAGATTTTGAATTTTTTTGTGTAATATTTCGAAAAATTTTTCACAGATCTTCAGAATATTTTTTAGAAATTTTTAAAATTAATTATTTCAAAAATTTTCGTGTCGATCGTAAATCTTTTGAAATATTTTAACCTGAAAATTCTTTCGAAAGATTTTGGTTATATAAATTTGCTGATATACAAATCGGATCTCTTATTCATATTATATAAAAGATGCTAGATTATTAATATAACACACATTAGAAATTTTACATTTTGTATGCAGTTACATTAGAACCAAGCCTTTTTTTTAATTATAATGAGGGCTACGTATCAATCTTTTAATAAAATAAAAATAACTAATTAAAATTAATTAGCTTTATTGCTATATTTTATATTTTGTGCTAAATTATGTAGCTTTCGAGTTACTTTTCTTTTTTTTCTTGGTAGCATTTTATGCAGATCTTTATTCTCTTTACCTAATGGTTGTCTTCTCAAAGCCTATCTTCTTGTAGTTTCTTTTCTTCTTTGTACCAATGTTACTTGAACAGGTATCTTTTTGCCACTTCGAATTGTTACAGAACTACTTGCATGCTGATAAACAAATGAAACTAGCTTATTTTCTGAGAGATTTTTTGTATTATGATATCCTTTTTGAAAGCTGAAAGTAATTGTATATTTTGCTTGATATCCATTTCTATCTCATGAAAGAAACTAGCCAAAGATTCAATACTGTCTGATTCTTTATCACTATTAATATTTGATTCTTTATTGGTATTAGTACTTAACTCTTCATTGCTATTATCATCTTTTGTAAAACTATAAACAAAAGAATTACTGAATTAGCAAAAAATTAAATATTTTATAAATATTTAATATAAAATATATATGTAATTCTTTTACTTATAGCAACTTTAGAATTTGATATAAATTCTGATGATTTTTGATTTTTTGGTTGATCTGTAATATTATCTTTGAATACTGAATAGATTTGGCAATACAAAGAAGCATAAAATGATTTTTCTCAGACTACTGAGCCTATATTATTAAAATATAAATCAAATACAGTATAATACTTATAAATAAATATATATTATATAATGATACTTACTAGTCACAATATAAAAATAATCTATTCGTTCATTAATTGTAAATGTATTAACAAAATTAGATGTTCTTTCCTGAAATTTTATAGCAATAGCAGCTTGATGTTTGTATGAAGCTCCTAAAATACCAACAAAATATAAACAAATTCTAATAGTAGAATCAATTATGTACGTTGTTCCAATTTTTGTAGTACTAGATACATCAAATATAATACTATCTTTTCTGCGCTAAATACCTTCAAAATTAAGCTCCTCTTGTTTATAGCTTAAAAATCTTTTATTAATATACATTCTTCCAGAACATTGGTTTAAGATAGCTAAAAGATGACATTTATAAAAGTATTCTAAGTTATTAGTAATAAAATAAAAAATCTGTATGATATTATAGGCTTGTGGTCTTCTAAAAACTATATTCTTCAATAATCCAAAGCTCTTTTCTATATAATTATTAGTATTATTTCTATGTATTAGTAAACCAATATGAAAAAAAAGAGCCCAATCTTGCTGATGATTCCAAGAGCGATTAATGTAAATAGCAAGATTTGGATATTTTATAAAATATTTGTTCTGTAAATTTTTAAATAAAGATACTAATTCAGCCTCTGTTGATGCATATACCATAAATTTCATATGCTCTATTAATAATAACTGATCATCTTTATGAATATAGTTATTAGCATTCTATAACTATCACCAAAATGCTTGAAGTATATAGAAAATATAAAGAAGTATTTTTGCATTACTCTAGCAATACCTAAGTACATTTCGTTCTGCTTTAGAATTATCTGTAATTATTATATATAGTCCTATTTTTGGCTCTTTATTATAAAATGCTTCGATTAGTAAAATTGTTTTTAAAAGATTGAATGCAGACTTTAGTATGTTTTCTAACTCATTTGATATTAAAATAACTTCTAAAAGTAATACTCTTACAGTACAACTTGTATAAAACAAGGTCATAGAGGTATTTAATAGATTAAAAGATGATGATGCATCTACATAGTATATTTCTTCTGTTTGATGAATTTTTTCATGAATTCTTTGCATTAAGTTACTAATGATACATAAAACAAATAAATGCTCTTTTTCCTTATCAAATAGTCAAAAAACAACGAACATCGAAGCTCCAAGAAACGCTGAAGCACTAACAAATGTCGAAAGCTCCAAGAAATGATGAAGCACCAAC